AGAGTCCAAGTGAATCTAGAATAGTCGTCCACTATAACAAATATGTACTTCTTTCCTCCTCTACTTGGCACCCTCGTAGGTCCACATAGATCCATATGGAGGAGATCAAGTGGCCTTGAGATACTAACTTCCTTTTTGGGCTTGAAAGAGGATCCGACTTGCTTTCCTTTTACACATGCATCACACACCTTGTGATCCTTGAAGCTTGACTTGGGCAGACCACAAACCAGGTCCTTCTTGACCAATTTGTTCAACAACCTGAAACTTGCATCACCCAGCCTTCTGTGCCATAGCTCAGCATTATCATCAATAGCACTCAGACAACTGAGATCCCCATTTCGCAAGGACTCAAAGTCGGCAACGTAGATGTTTTTGTATCTTTTGGCCACTAACACCACTTCACCAGTCGTAAGATTTGTGACTGTGCATATCTTGGATACAAATTCCACTTTGTTTCCCTTGTCACAGATTTGGGAAACACTCAACAAGTTGTACTTCAACCCGTTCACGTAGTATACATTTTCAATAGAGTGAGAAAGAGACTTCCCGATCCTTCTAACTCCCAGAATGTATCCCTTCTTGCCATTTCCAAAGGATACACTCCCTCCCTGCAGGGCCTTCACTAAAAGGAAATCATTTGTACTTCCATTCGTGTGCTTTGAGAAGCCGCTATCCATGTACCATTGTTGGCTGCACAAGGAAATCAAGGGTTAGACTTAGGAACCCAAACAAGTTTGGGTCCCTTATAATGAGGAAATGGGTGAATGAGGGCTCTTTTGGTCCAAGCAGGCATTATACGTTTTTTATGTGAAGGACCAGGTTCCCTAACAGTAGTTACTTCTTCAGCAAAAACTTTGTATTTTGTTGAGATTGAAATCTGGCCTTACAGGTTTCCTTAAAGTGCCCATTGTTACCATATTGTGTGCAGAGCCAATTATCAGGTACAGTGACGTACTTGCTATGAGGGTTGTAGGGAGTCTTTTCTGTTTGAAACCCGACTCCCTACCTGTTCCCCCCACTGCTTGTATACATAGCAGTGATTGCATCAGAGGACCAGGTCCACTTAAGTGATTTTTCTAGGTCACTCTTCACTTTTCCTAGGTCTTCTTGAAGTTGTCTGTTTTTCTCAAGCTCTGCACAAAGACTAGATTTCACTGATTTTAACTCCTCTTCAAGCCTAAGGTGTGCTTCACTTACAACTTCCTTTCCTTTTTGAGTGTTCCCATGCCTACTTTCCCTCTTTAGTTCCTCAATTATTTCCTTTAGGTCTACAACCACCACTAATAGGTCATCTCTCTCATGCTCAATGTTAGCAACCCTCTCAGTTAAAACCTCTTTCTCCTTTCTAACACACTCAATGGTCTCTTTTAGATCGACCACAACAACCACCAGATCATCTCTCTCATGTTCTATATTTGCAATTTTTCAGTTAAGGCATTTTTTTCCTTTCTTCAGACTCTCAATGGTTTCCTCTAAATCTACCACCATAACTACTAGATCATCTCTCGATTGTTCTGCTTCTCTCAGTTCCAAAGTTAAGGCATATTTATCATTTATAAGACTATGATATGCATCAATTAAAATATTTTCCAAAGATATAAGTTTTTTTGGAGAATAAGACTTTAGATTTCTTTGAACATCTAGAAAGTTTACCACATCATCATCGTCATCTTTATCATTGTCAGATTTTTCCATAAGAGCAAAGATCGAGTCATACTCAGATGCTTCACTTTCCACTGCCATCATGGAGCTATCACCTTTATCATCATCTTCTTCAGATTCGCTGGAAGAACTCCCCATGCAGTAAGAGCTTGTTTCACAACATTGTCAGCGGCATCTTTTCTCTTGAATCGTTTGTCAAGAACCTGGTTCCGCTTAGCTGCTTTGTCAGTGTTATGTTTGTATTGATCTTGCTTGAGAAGAGAGCAATCCTTGATGAAGTGTCCTAGTTTGCCGCACTTATGACATAGGTCATAACCTTTTGGCTTGCTGGAGCTGCCTCGTTTCCGAATGCCTCCATTTATGCGAACCATTTTCTGAAACCTTTTTGTCAGGTAAGCCATATCAGCATCCTCACCACCTAAGTCATTGTTGTCCGTCTTGAGGACCAGGTTCTCACTTTTGGACTTTCTTCTCTCATTATCCTTCTTCTTCTTCATTTCATAGGTCTTGAGATTGCCGACAAGTTCATCAATGGTCAACTCTTGAAGATCCTTTGCCTCTGTGATGGCATTTACTTTGCTTTCCCAGGAACCAGGTAATACACTAAGTATTTTCCTGACAAGTTTGTTCCTGGGGATGATCTCTCCCAGTGAGTGAAGCTCATTAATGATAGATGTGAAGCGAGTGTGCATATCCTGAATGGATTCATCATCTTTCATTCTAAAAAGATCATACACTGTGGTCAATGATAATAGATGATAATCATGCGAGTTAGCTAATATTTGCACTCTAAGTTGGCCGCACTTTACCTATGTTTGATTGTAAAAGATAAAAAAAATGCTCTAATTACGAGTTTATTGCTTTGCAGGAGTCACTCCGAGCTAGGAGAAAGCTAAAAGAGTGTTCTGGAGTCAATATGGAGCATGGAAGGCCAACCGAAGGACCACACGATCGAAAAAGAGAAGAAAGAGCAAGGATGAAATCCGTGCCCAGGTCCGCGGTCAATCCGCGGCCGCGGACAGAACATATGTTGAATCCGCGGTCCATCCGCGGCCGCGGACGGGGTGTTCAGAGCCAAACATTGCAAGGTCAATTGTGTAATTTCCAGGACGACTCTCCTTGACCTATAATAAGCCCAGCTCGCCCAAATAGAAGATATCGAGGTTTTTGAAGTGTTTTTGAAGGCAAGAACAGGCGAGAAGCAAGGCGGAATATTCGGCATAGAGTTTTTACCTTTCTTCGTCTTGTTTTTATCATCGAGAATGAATTATATCATTATGGTTGTGAAAACAGTTATGCGTAGCTAAACCTCTAATCTAGGGTTGATGGAACCAAATGTTGGATGAAGTCTTGATTACGTTTTGATATAATTAAGCCATTTCTTACTCTATAATTGTTCAACTATGTATTTTCCTGTGATTAATTGAAAGGGCCCTTGATTAATCGTGTCTAGTTATCTTGTGTTGCTTGAGAAAGAACACTGGGTTAGATTGTTGTTGAACAACACCACTTTCAGGTAAGTTAAGAGATTAATTACTTGAATTTAAAAGCAGGGTTAGAGATAACGAAGCTTTGGTGGAATAATTCTGAGTTGCGTAAATTGTTAACTAGAGTAGTTCGAGAGAATGTTTCTAGTAAATTATCGTAATTGATCGAGAGATAATTGCGGTAACCCAGAACTCATATTTTTTATAGAGTATTATGGCGAGATTATAGCTAACGTGTCAGGAATTAATCCGTCAATTGGGGAAATCAATAACCCTAGACCATTTTACCAGTGAATTCAACTATATTCTTGATTATTGCTAGTTTTATTATTATTTTCCTTAGTTAACTAAATTCTACTCATTATCCGTTAAAAATCTTGCATCCGGGGATTGTTTGAGCTATTCATTAGCAGTGTTAAAAGTTGTAGTAAATAGGTTAGTTCCCTGTTGGATTCGACTCCGGACTGAACCAGATTATATATTTGCAGCGACCGCTTAGTCCTTTTTATAAGGCGTAGTTGGGCGTGATCAAAGTTTGGCGCCGTTGCCGGGGAACTAACGGTGTTATTTATTGCAACTTTGAAGAATTGCTAGGATTATTAGTCTTGATAAAATTTCTGTGGTGTAAAAGATTTCCATTGAAATTCTCACGGTTGAACTCTTCTGTAACTCAGGTGCATGCGTAGAAGCTCTTCGAGAACTGGTGAACTCTTTGAAGGACTCTCAGATCCCGAGAAAGCATTCCGGACATTGAGCCGGGCTAACAAGAAGAGCAAACAGCTAAAACAAAGCGAACAAATTGAAATTGAAATGGATGACGTAAACAACATCAACGGGAACAACAGGAATGATCGAGATGACCCAAACGTCAAAGTGGTAGCACCTCTTATGCCGGAAGCTGCTCTTTATGATTTGGCGCAACCAACTGCAGATAACCTGGCACAGCAATTGCGGTTCCTCCCATACAAGCGGAGACATTCCAGATTAGCAACAACATGTTGCACCTGTTGCAGAATAAAGGGTTGTTCTCCGGGTCATACATCGAAGACCCACAACAACATCTGAAGAACTTCCTATCAATATGTGTCACTCAAAGACAGCCGAATGTGACTCCTGAGGCAATCAAATTATTATTGTTCCCATTCTTAGTAACAGGGGAGACTCAAACTTGGCTGAATTCGCTCCCAATAAACTCCATTGCTATTTGGGAGGAACTAGTCAAGCACTTCTTAAACAAGTTTTATGCACCCAACAAAACTGCGAGGCAGATTGATGAGATATTGCAATTCAGGCAGAAACCGACTGAGACTTTGCAGGAGACCTGGGAGAGGTTTAAGGGCATGTTGGTGAAGTGCCCTCACCATGGTATTCCAGATCAGATGTTGGGACAGAGATTCTATATGGGTTTGGCTGACAGTTTGAAGGCCAATATAGATGCTTCAGCCAGGGGTGCATTTCAGACTGTCGGTCTTGACCCAAACAACACACATGCAGAAAATCGATGAGATGGGTACGAAACATGTGCACATTGTGGATACCACAAATGGAGGCTTGTGCACTCCTTGCATAAACCAGTCATATGTGTGCTCGTGGAGTGGAGAGAATGACAACTAGGGATTCACAGAAGACATGAATTATGTCAATAATTTTGGAGGTCAGAGGCAAGGTGGGCAGCAATGGGGACCAACAACAAACTAGCAGTACAGACCGAACCAGCCACAGCACAACCCCAATCCAGGAGGAGCACAACCACAACGCCAAGTCATACCTTATCAAAGGCAACATGGCTATAATCAGCAACACCAGCAACAGTTGACCTACCAACCACCTCATCAGCAGCAGGATAGTAATATGATCGAAATCAGGGGTATGCTGCAACAACTCATTGGGGCAAATGGAAAGATGCAAGAGAAGTTAGCTGCACATGATTCAGCAATCAAAGGCATTGAAACTCAATTGGGACAGCTATCTATGGCCTTGAACAATCGCCCACAAGGAACATTTCCTGCAGATACAAACGTTAATCCAAAGGAGCAGAACCCGAATCAGCTCATGGCAGTGAGTCTCAGGAATGGGAGAGATTTAGACAGGGAGCAACAAGTTGCTCAATTCAGGAGAGAGACAACGCCAACTACTCCAGCTGCCCCGGTTACATTAGAGACCGATGAGTCGGCAGAGCTCACCGAGGTTGTAATCGAGCAAGCACGGGTTGACAAGGGTAAGGAGAAGGAAGGTGAACAACTCCCGAAACAGGAAGTAGAAAAAGCTTCCAGCAAAGAAAGACGCAAAGCAGTGGGCAGAGGTTGATTCCTGCACCATTCCCTCAGAGGTTGGCAAAGCAAAAGAAGGAGGATCAATACAGGAAATTCATGGAAATGCTCAGACAAATTCAATTGAATATTCCACTGATGGATGCTTCGCGGGAAATGCCAGGGTATGCAAAAATGATGAAGGACCTGATGTCATGAAAATTTGACTTCCAGGACCTGTCCACTGTAACTCTGACGCAGACCTGCAGCGCGGTAGTGACAAGACCTATGGCTCAAAAGGTGTCTGATCCAGGTAGTTTCACTATCCCATGCACCATTGGGAGTTACGCTTTTGCTAAAGCATTTTGTGCTTTAGGAGCCAGTATAAACTTGATGCCCTTGGCAATCTACACAAAACAGGGCATTGGCAGAGCTAGACCGACCTCAATGTTGCTGCAACTGGCTGATCGCACAATGAAAAGACCGAACAGAATTCTTGATGATGTGCTTGTTCAAGTGGGGAAATTTGTATTCCCTACAGACTTCGTCATTCTTGACTGTCAAGTGGATGAAGAGATACCAATCATTCTGGGCTGTCCGTTTTTAGCCACTGGGAGAGCATTGATTGATTGTGAAATTGGGAATTGAAAATGAGGTTGAAAAATGAAGAAATCATATTCAATGTTCAACAATCTATGAGGAGACCCAGCGAATTTGCAAATTGCTCACTAGTGGAGGCCGTAGATATGATACTACAAGAGGAGGATGAGACTATTAATGTAAGGGATCTGTTAGAAGCTTGCTTGATGAATCTAGAAAATGTGGATGGTGAGGAGTTGGAAGAGTGGGTCATAGCTCTCGAAGGTCAAGGGTTCTGGACAAGGGAACCCCAATCCGAGCCCCTACACTTAGAAGAAAGAACAACACCACCTGCCAAACCATCGATAGAGGAGCCACCACAGTTGGACCTGAAACCGCTTCCAGCTCACCTCAGGTACGCTTTCTTAGGGCCTAATTCTACTTTACCTATTATTATATCATCTGGTTTGCTAGTTGTGCAGGTAGAGCAACTCCTACAGGTGTTACAGGAATGTAAGACTGCCATTGGTTGGACCATGGCGGACATAAAAGGTATCAGCCCAGCTTTTTGTATGCACAAGATTCTCTTGGAAGAAGGGCACAAACCTTCCAGAGAACATCAACGAAGGCTGAACCCGAATATGAAAGAGGTGGTGAAGAAGGAAGTGATCAAATGGTTAGATGCGGGTATCATCTTCCCCATCTCTGACAGCAATTGGGTCA